CATAATAGCAATGCTTATCCATTGTATGCTGTATAGATAAAATTGTGGGAAAAAATGTATAAATACCTATATTTTTGAGCAATTATGTTACTGCTCTGTCTGCTGCTCTTCCCCTAGTCCTGAGCTCTTCAGTCTTAAAATGATGCCAGGACACAGAAGTCGCATGTCTCTGGAGCTCTTTAGCTCCATCAAGGCAGAAAGAAACATCTACAGGCTTTAGGCAGAATTAAGTGAATGACTGACATCCCTTGACACTCCCTCCCGACTGTAGTGCGCAGACTCTCCCTACAGGAGCTGATCTGGTGATCTGACCAGTGAGTCTGCTGTTTTTCAAAAGATCAAACTTTCTTCCAGATGTATACGTTTATAGGGAGGAGACAAACCATTTAATATGGGCAGCTTATATTTATTTATGTAAAGCCTTTAATCTAAAAGGAAAAAAGCTGTTTGCTATCACTGATTATAAAGTGTGAGCTGGCGTTTGACTTCAGTTTGTTAGTGTGTCTAAATCTGCTAGTATATTTAACACTAGCCCCCAAGACTGAAAATGCTGCTGTCTGCTGTGTCCCTGTGCTCCTACATCCAGAGTGGAGGCACTCTTATACAAGAGATGTTTTACTCGCCAGATCAGCCAGTGAAAACAGAGGGTAAAAAGCCTAGGAAAGAAAAGTAATTCAGCCACCACATCTAATGATTGGTAAGCTGTAATATATTACAGTTGATTTTTGGGTTTATTACTGCATTGACAGGCTGACTGATCAAACATGGGCTATTATGTGGTTAAAGCTGCCATACACAAGTCAGTTTTTTTTTTTTTTTTTTTTTTGTTCAATCAGCGGATTTAACAAAAAATAAATAAAAAAGACTATTCCCTCTTCCGCACACTCAATGTGATGGGGATTCCTCCCAGCTGAGCCATTGTATTCTGACAATTAGGATTACAAAGTAAAACGTACATTGTGTTTTTGAGATAAACTAGGCTAGCCTTTTTTAACCAGGGTGCTTTCAGGTTTCTTCAGGGGTACATTAGCAAAATGCCTAAAAATTGCCCAAAAATTGTATATAAGTCAGCGGGTGGATCAAGCCTGCCTTTTAATTACACAAAGCTCCAGGTTTTCATTGTGTACTGATACAACCATCTAGCCGCCCGTGTCCTCACAACCAAAGATGTAATCGATTGATAAGGAGGATGGCAGTTGCCTGCAAAGCATTCTTGTTTGCCCTTCCCCTACCCCACTTCATCAGCACTGGGATCACAATAACTGGGAGGAGAGAAACTGAGGGAAAAGAGAAACAATGGTATACTAGTCAGTACCACTGTGCAAAGGTGTGTTCCCTTTGGAAGAATAAATCACCTCTAATGTTGAATGTCCTACGTGTGTGAATGGTCTTGTGATGTAAAAAACTAAACTAATAGTTTGCCTAAAGATTGTACAGGGTGCCTTAACTTAAAAAAGGTTGAGAAGCACCAAACTAGGCTTTTTTTGCCAATATTGTCCTGTAAAATGGTTTTACTTTCTATTTAATCTATACACAAAAATATATGCCAACAAAATGGCATAGGAGCAAAATAGAAAAATTTTCTCAAATGAACAAATTCCTAACAGTGAATTAGGTTTTCATTTGAGAAAATCCGTTTACTGTAGTATCGAATATTAAAGCAAACGGTTTGTGAAGAACTTTTGATAGACATTTGTGATGTCATCCAATGTACTGATGAAAATGTTTATGTGAATGTCCGTATGAACATTTGTTTGAAAATGTACTAGTTTTTATTGTGGCGTTAGAAGATTAATTACACTGTAGTTGGTAATTTCTTTGCATGAGATCTGAATTTCTGACGTAAGTTGCACTGGTTGTTGAAGACTACTTTATATCAGGGCTCAACAAATCCCAGGTACCAGGAACTAGAAATTGTTTCCTGGCACCTGGGTTCACACTCTGCCTCCCATTGACTTCAATGCAAAATTGCATCCTTTTGACTTCAATGCAAAATCATGTCCTATTGACCTTAGTACAAAATTGTGTCCCATTGGCTTCAATGCAGATGTCACATACCTTACTTGTGAGCCTGATGGCAGGAGGAAGGCCTCTCGTACAGCTCCGGTTCAAGGGCCACTGAAGGTGGAACAGCAACCACAAGAGCACGGCGGGGTATGAGTGCCTGTTCAGTCCTATAGTCTGTGCAGGGATTGCTGGCACTTTGCTTGGAGATGGGATGGTTGGACCGGCTGGCGGCAGAGCAGGCAGGCAATGAAGCAGGCTAGTAGCAGACTGTATGCAGGGTCAGACAAGCCGGGTCGGTAGCAGATAAGCAGATCAGACATGAATGGTAAACAGGAGAATAGTCACGTCACAAGCCAGGGTCAGTGTTGGTGGGAGCAGATCAGGCAGAATCAGAATGCAGAGGCAGAGTCCAAGAAGCAAGCTGGGGTCAATCACAGGTAATCACTCACAGGAACAGGATCAGGCACAGGAATACAGGAGGGGAGCTGCAGATCAGACAGCACAGGCTAATAGTGCTGCTGGGTTTAAATAGTCTGATTGGCGCCAACATTAGCTACGGGCTGTCGCGTGTGTCACGACTATGTGCAGCAGAACGGGCCCTCACACATCTGCGCCTGCGCCGCTGTGCACTATGTCTTCCTGACAGCAGAATCGTGTCCTATTGACTTCAATGCAGAATCACGTCCCATTGACTTCAATGCAAAATTGTGTCCCATAGTGCTGGTCAGTGTCAGGCTTTCTCCGTGGGGAAGGGGGGGGGGTGTAGGTGGAAGGCGGACGATTTTTGTGTTGCCTAGGGCAGCACAGAACCTAAATACACCACTGCACCAGCCACATGGGAGCGAATAGGATTTCTACTTGAAAAAGTGAGGATGCCTATAAAGTTAACCTTTTCCAGAAAATAGCCTATGCTAACAAGGGGCTCCAGTAGGTATTACATTGTTACTAAACCCACAACAGTAAAATCAGTCTGTATATGCAGTAAAGCATGCTTGTTATACTCACCTAAGGGGTTAACCTACTGCTTTGTGTAAAAAGGCTGTTTGATCCTGTCTTTTCTGTTCCTCCCCTTCTTTTTGCTGTCCCCAATCCATCTGCCATAATTAGAGCAATAGTGGAAATAGTGGAAATTCTGCACATGCTCTGTTTGGTGTGTATTGCTAGAGAGTTGTTTTTTTTTCCGGGGGGGGGGGAGATGTGATCAGCACAGGACAAATCAGCCCTGTGCTGATCAGTCTGGACAGATGGTCACGGATTATGCAGCCTCATAGGACAGTCAGAAGAGAATGAAAACGCCTGCTACAAGATTAACCAGTGCTCTGGTGGACACTGATCAAAGTCAGAAGACTGCTGATGTGAAAAGGTATTTAGAGGGTTTATATTTACTAAAATAACTGCATTTCTATGTTTTGTGTACTGTGGGAGACCAGATATGAATGTAAGGTTATGGGTTTAGTAACACTGTAAATCTGTGCTGCTTTGTAAAATGTTCATTAACTATATTGTCATACCTGTACACCATTTGGATCCCCCCAGACACCTGGCCAAAAAACTCCCAGCAGCCATCTGCACATCCTGCCTTGTTGCTAGGAAGCAAAAACTGTAGTTTTCCACCCCATTATGCTGGGAATAAGCATCTCACAGTTTTCATGTCCTAGCAACAAGGCAGGATGTGAACATTTCTGCCTTTCAGTTTTCCAGCCATGATTTTTGGGGGCCCAAATGGCCTACAGGTATGTCAGTGAAGTAAATTACCCTTTACAAAGCTGCAAATGTTTTATTATCTACAGAGGTCCCTTGACTACATACGGTAGGTTCTTTTCTTGAAAAGGTGAACTTTGCCTTTTTAGCCTAGTAGCCTAGCTCTCTGCCATACTGGATTTGATTACAGACATAAGGTCACTAACCTTTTATTATGTTTATGAAATTTAGCTCCATAGGTATCACGGCAGGTCCTAACATCTTAGATACAGGCTTAAAGTGGCAATAAATCCAAAAGCAAACATCCTTTAGATTGTAAGCTCCACGCGCATGGGCCCTCACATTCCTTCTGTACTGAAATGTATTGTTGCTTTATTGTCTCCCTTATATTGTAAAGTGCTGCGCAAACTGTTGGCGCTATATAAATCCTGTATAATAATAATAATTATATTGCAGCTTACCAATTCTTAGATGCAATACCTGCATTCATTTCTTTCTTTTATCTTCACCTGGTGATCCAGTCAGTAAGTCTATTGTTTTCACCTACGCCGTCCCTTCTCTCCTCCTGTCCTCCATGGTGCCGGCATCTCTACTGTGGGAACCAGGCTGTGACAGCTTCACAGCCTGGTGCCCACTGCGCATGCGCGAGTCACGCCGCACCTCCTGATTGGTCCGGCAGTTTCCTGGGACCTGTGAAAGTTACCAGGAGACTGCGTGAGCAAGGAGGGGGTCAAACTTCTGGGTCACTTCTCCGTAGTGAACTGAGCCGTAAGTGGGAGTAGGTACCTGTCAAAACCAGGTACCATCTCTCCCTCCCCCCCAAAAGGTGCCAACTATGGCAGTGGAGGGGGGAGCAGGCAAAAAAGTAGAGCTTCTGCTTTTGAGTGGAGCTCCACTTTAATAAAAAAAAACTGGACAACAGTCATCTTTCTGTATTGTTTTTGTTTTAGCAATCAATATTTTATTGTTTTTCTGACCGCATCTGGTCTTCACAAGTGTATTTTAATTTAATAGTGCCTTACTTATATTAATCTCTTCCTGCCGAATGTATGCAAATATGCGGCCTTTCAGTGGTTGAACCTTGACGTCTAGAGCAGGGCTTAAAATTTCAAATCCTGAGCTACTAGCCAGGCCTTAAGAGTTACTCGCCACTAACAAAAACACATAAACAGAGACACCTGTACACACACACACAGACATGCACATACACACACAGACACAGACACACACAGAAACATGTACACACACAGACACGTATACACACACAGGCACGTACAGACACACACAGATACATGTACATACACAGAAATACACACGCACAGACACATGTACATACACAGACACATGTACATACATGCACAGACACATGTACATACATGCACACACACATGTACAAACAGACACATGTACGTACATACACACACAGACACATGTACACACACATACATGTACATACACACGGACACATGTACAGTTACACACAGACACATGTACATGCATACACACACACACGCTGTTAAGTGCTCTCTCCTCTCCCCTGAAGCCACCACTGGCTGACATAGAGGATCATGTGACCAGAGTGAGCTGAAATTAGGTAGACACACACAGCCCTATAAAAAGTTGCAGTACTGCGTTGTTCACTCACAGAGCTGGGTACTGCACTCTAGGGGGAGGCAGAGAGCACATCACACACTCCTTCCTTTGCTTTCACTGCGCTCAGCTATTGAGCAGTCTGACAGCTCCCAGTGCCAATGACAGATCCGGTCTGAGCTCCGTGCCTGCTCAGCAAGACGGCCCTGGGGACACACTCGCCCCCACCATAATTTCCACTCGCCATTGGCGAGCAGACGAGTGGAAATTTCAAGGCCTGGTCTAGAGGATGCATATTTGCATACTAAAATGTAATCAAAGCTGTCCTGAGAGTGTGCGCACCTGACCGAAAGCTCCTGATCGCTTCTTGCAATCAGGAGCTTTCCAATCTTGTGACTACTATGACAGCCAATCATGGCGGTCACACGATCATAAACTCCGCCCTACCTCCCGCCATCAGAAACCCCTTAAAGGGGGGTGCCGGCATTAAGCGGTTAAACCATTATACTGTACCTAAAATAAGTAATTACCTGATTCCCCTTTGTCCAACATTGCATTTTTATTATCCAAATTGATATAAATGTCAGTGGTTAGTAAAAAATGTAGAACTGAAAATGGAAAGATACAAATGATACTTGGCTAGTGAGTCTATTTGGCAAATACAACAGAAAACATAATGTAGTGAGAATGGTTGGATGTTATTTGGGGTCTGTTCACCAGTATACGTGATTTTAAGAATGACAGGAGATTAGGTAGAGAGAGCTGTTTGCACTTGCATTACAGAACGCATTCAAAAAAGAATTTAGCGTTTCACCTTTGACAGCTATCTGACAAGCTATCGGTTACAGTTGAGTCTGAAGTAAGTGAAGGTGAAACTAATGGGATTAAATTAAACTGTTACTTATGTGGTAATGGCTTTGTGTATTTGTGCCTGATAAAGAGCTCTGTGCCATGGGAAATGTTACATTATACTGTTCGCCATCCCATTCATCAATTCATGGGATAAGAACCTTCAAATGTTTCTTATCAGATAAAGCAGGTTCCATGTTCTTTTAATGAGTATTGAACCCAGTAGTGTCAACAGTGTGATAGAAGACTATAGGGAATACGCCATTTGGAGTGGTTTATTTGTGCCATTTCAGTAAAGCTGGCCGTACCCTAACAGATTTTTGTAATACAGCCTGCAGGCTGAATGAAAAAAAAATGTAACAGGTTCCTTCAGGCACGCTACACAGCATGGATAGAAGAATTTCCCACGACAGCTGTTGTATTTTGAAAGCTGGTTGTCAAAATGGCCAAACAGTGTCTACATCTGATTGCATGCAGCCACTGTTTGGCCAACAGTTATCAGACCAACTCCATTGGCTTCATCCAGAATTCATGTATGGCCATGTTTAGGCAGGAATCCGTGTGTAGAAACAAATGAAAGCTGTGGTCAATGAAAATGCATTTCAAAGTATTTGTAATTATTTTTAAGCCAGTGCTGTAAATCACACCTCTTTATTAGATTGCTTAACCACTTGCCCCCTCCAGAGGATTTACCCTCCCTTCTTGACCAGGCCATTTTTCGAGATATGGTGCTGCGTTACTTTAACTGACAATTGCACGGTCATGCAACGCTGCACCCAAATTAAATTTATGTCCTTTTTTTACCACAAATGGAGCTTTTGTTCTATGGTATTTGATCACCTGTGCGTTTTTTTAAACAAAAAAAGACTAACAATTTTGAGAAAAAAACATTATTTTTGACTTTTTGCTATTAAACATGTCCAGTTAAAAAAAAATTTAAAAAATCAAATTTTATCATAAATTTAGATCAAAGTGTATTCTGCTACATGTCTTTGCTAAAAAAAAAACCCAATACGTGTAAATGAATTGGTTTTCGTGAAATTTATAGCATCTACAAATGGCAGTATATATAGTGGATTTTGTTTTTCTTCTTATACTAGTAATGGCGGCGATCAGCGGGACTGCAGCGGACATTCTGACACTGGGGGGGGGGGGACGACTTACTAATTGTAACTGACATTCCCGGTGACACTAATACTGTGATCAGTGCTAATAAAAAGCACTGACACTGTACTAATGGCACTGGGCAGGAAGGAGAAGTTAACATCTGGGGCGATCAAAGGGTAAACTGTATGCTGTGTGCTGGGTGTGTCTTTCATTGTGTCAGCACACTGCTTTGTATTACAGGGGAGAGATATCTGTATATCCGGGTATTTCCTACCCGGAAATGCAAAATCATGTATATATACGTGATTTTGCACAGCCCTGCCACCCTGTAGCAGTATTTCTGATATAGGGTGGCGGGAAAGCGTTTAAAGAACTTCAGTTGAAATAAAAAAAAAGTGCAGCATCCAAATACACTGCTCAAAAAAATTAAAGCAATACTTTGAAAACATGTCAGATCTCAATGGGGAAAAATATCATCATGCTGGATATACTGATATGGACTGGGTAATGTGTTAGGAATGTAAGGAAGCCCCATAGTTTGATGGAAATGAAAATTATCAACCTACAGAGGACTGAATTCAAAGACACCCCGAAAATCAAAGTGAAAAAATGATGCAGCAGGCTAGTCCATTTTGCTGAAATTTCATTGCAGCAACTCAAAATGGTACTCAGTAGTTTGTATTTATATGCATGCCTGACAATGTCGGAGCATGCTCCTAATGAGACGATGGATGGTGTCCTGGGGTATTTCCTCCCAGATCTGGACCAGGGCATCACTGAGCTCCTGGACAGTCTGAGGTACAATCTGGCAGTGTCAGATGGACCGAAACATGTTATTCCAGAGGTGTTCTATTGGATTTAGGTCAGGCGAGCATTGGGGCCATTCAATGGTATCAATTCTTCATCCTCCAGGAACTGCCTGCATACTCTCGCAACATGACGCCGGGCATTGTGGTGCACCAGGAGGAACCCAGGACCCACTGCACCAGCGTAGGGTCTGACAGTGGGTCCAAGGATTTCATCCCGATACCTAATGGCAGTCAGGGTGCCATTGTCTAGGCTGTAGAGGTCTGTGTGCCCATCCATGGATATGCCTTCCGAGACCATCACTGATCCACCACCAATACGGTCATGCTGAACGATGGTACAGGCAGCATACTGTTCTCCACGGCTTTCCCAGACCCTTTCACATCTGTCACATGTGCTCAGGGTGAACCTGCTCTCATCTGTGAAAAGCACAGGGTGCCAGTGGTGAACCTGCAAATTCTGGTGTTCAATGGCAAATGCCAATCCAGCTCTATGGTGCCGGGCAGTGAGCTTAGGGCCAACTAGAGGACATCGGGCCCTCAGGCCACCCTCATGAAGTCTGTTTGTGATTGTTTGGTCAGATACATTCACACCAGTGGCCTGCTGGAGGTAACTTTGTAGGGTTCTGGCAGTGCTCATCCTGTTCCTCCTTGCACAAAGGAGAAGATACCGGTCCTGCTGATGGATTAAGGACCTTCTACGGCCCTGTCCAGCTCTCCTAGAGTAACTGCCTGTCTCCTGGAATCTCCTCCATGCTCTTGAGAATGTGCTGGGAAAAACCGCAAACCTCCTGGAAATGGCACATATTGATGTGCCGTCCCGGAGGAGTTGGACTGCCTGTGCAACCTCTGTAGGGTCCAGGTATCGCCTCATGCTACCAGTAGTGACACTGACCCTAGCCAAATGCTAAACTAGTGAAAAACAGTCAGAAAAGATGAGTAGGGGAAAAAATGTAAGTGGCCTCCACCTGTAAAACCATTCCTGTTTCGGGGGTTGTCTCATTGTTGCCCATTTAGTGCACCTGTTGTTAATTTAATTAACATTAAAGCAGCTGAAAATGATTAACAACCCCATCTGCGACTTAACTGACCCGATCAATATCCCAGGAGTTTAAGTGACTTGATGCTATACTATGATTAAAAAGTGTTCCTTTAATTTGTTTTGAGCAGTGTATATCATTTGGGACTTTTCACAATAATCTGTACTTAAAGTGTTACGAACCCACAACAGTAAAATCAGTCTGTATATGCAGTAAAGCATGCTTGTTATACTCACTGTAGAACTTAAGGGGTTAATCTTCTGCATTGTGAAAAAAGGATGTTTGAGCCTGACTTCTCTATTCCTCCCCTTCCACTGTCAACTCCTAATAGAACAGAGCCATGGGGGCAAGGTGCACATGCTCATTTTGGTGTGTATTGCTAGAAAGTTTTTTTTTTTTTTTTTGGGAGAGTACATGTGATCAGCACAGGGACAATCAGCACTGTCCAGACAGAGGGTCAGGGGTTCTGCAGTCTCATAGGACAGGAGGAGAATGAAAACTGCTCCTACAAGCTTTAATCAGTGCTCTGCTGGACTCTGATAAAAGTCACAAGACCGCTCTAACTGCTGATGAGAAAAGGTATTTAGCAGGTTATATTAACTAAAATAATTGCATTTCCATGTTCTTTGTACAGTGGGAGACCAGAATGCAGGGTCCTGGGTTTAGTAACACTTTAACCAATGAATCTGTTATTTTTACAGTGCCTACCTGTTTTGTTGGCAGCCATTTGCAGTAAGGACAGCTAAAGCCAGCATCTGTTCACTTTCTGGATCTCCCTCAGCTCAGAACCCATCATGCCCTGCAAATTTGCACATTTGTGCATGAAGCACATATCATACAGCTATTACAGCTATAGTGGACATGCATGCGCAGAGCACAGAATGGGTGGGGGAGAAGCTGTCTGTTACTCAAGTCATGTGAAAAGGCTACCGCAGGAATGCTCGTATCAGAACGGGGAGTGGGGGCCAGGAGGAGCGCCTCTGATGCTTGTGCCCGAAGACTCATGAGATTTATGACAATGATATCCCAGTTAACAGGACTTGAGATTATGTCATTCGCCTAGGCAAAAAAGCAGGAAGTAGAGGGGGGCAAGCAAGATTTAAGGTATTTATTATTATTATTATACAATATTTATATAGCGCCAAAGGGTTTGCTCAGCACTGTACAGTAGCAAGGGGGACAGAACATGAGACAAGACAGTAACAATACAATACACGAGGGTTCAAGGGCCCTGCTCTTTCCAGCTTACAATCTAGGAGGGAGGGGAAGGTGGTACAGGAGGAAATGGGCTGTGGGGGATGGAGTGGTGGGAGGAGTGGAGGAGGTTAGTTGTTACGTGGGGTCAGGTGTTAGGTGAGGTTGGGGTAGGCTTCCCTGAAGAGGAGGATTTTCAGGGTGCGCCTAAAGGTGAGGAGGGTAGGTGACAGTCTGATGGATTGGGGTAGGGAGTTCCAGAGGATGGGGGAAGTCCTAGAGAAGTCCTGCAATCGGGCGTGG